AGGTCGACTTGTGGCAAGTCTAATGTTCTGGTAATGAATGCCAAATGAAAAAACGCATTCTCTTGGTAAAGAAAAACCTTCACTCGACTTCCGGTGGAGTAACTGTTTATCATCGAAGCAAGGCCGTCAAACTTTGTGACTTTAAAGACTTTACTTCAACTGTATTTAGCTCTTATTAACCGAGCAGGAGGTCTGTATGGGAGAATCTTGACCGAGGTTCGGAGTACAGACCGAACGCAGTGAGGTCTGTACACACGACCGTGGTCAAGATTCTCCCATACAGACCGACTTAGCTCAGTTAATAAGCTAAGATGTTTATTATATGACAAAGAAGAAAACTTTAATTCGTTTAATGTAACTGGTTTGCTGACATTTTGTTTGCGAACGGCGATGAGCTTAACTTAAACCTGCCGAAATTTGCTCGTCCTCTTTACTTTCTTTTTTGTCATCAGGCTTTTTGGCACTTCCATAAATGATTGAGAAGAAAATAAAAGAAAATGGTGGACATTTTTGTATTTTAGTTTACTACTTTTTCAACGCAAAATGAAACCGGTCTAGATTCCGGTCTAGAATGGAAAATTTAGACCGCGGTCCATATCGATTTCAGCCAATCAAATTCGTGAATTTGGTAGTTCCCAGTCCTTGTGAGAGACAGCCATATATAATAATTGGGAATAATCACTAGCTTGATGGAATTTGTTGTTCCATGACAACTAAATTTTAACAAACATATTTTCTCAAATTTTACAGCCTCTAATAAGTCAAGCGGAAAGAGGGGAGTCAGAACTGATGATCCGACTTGTTTAACCGACTTATTATTTTCCTTTAAGTTACATTTGTAAAAATGAAATGAAAACATGACTTTATACCTGTCATTGCAGGTCTTCCAGAATCGCCCAGTCCCCCAGCTACTCCATCGGGAACATCGGCTCCAAGTTTTATAGCAGTTACCTATAAACAAAATCATTCAGCATTCTAATCTGGGCAGATGACAGGGTAACCTGTGGTTTCGCGAGCTGTACACGATAATTCGCGTATCGCATTTAAATTAATAGCGCTCAGTCACCGCGATGTGTTGATTGCTTTTGGCCACGTACAAAATTACCTTTAAATTGAAGGAAAGTTTACTAAGATAGAAAAACGCTAAAGAGATAATAATAAACCATAAAGGAACAAGGGTGGTTAAGGATGGAGAAGATTGACACAGATTACAAACGACGAACTTGAAAAATATAGGCTAAACTTTTCAAGATACGCAAACCGTGACGTGGCTTGGAAACATTGTGAAAGAATATGAGAAAACATCAAGTAAAGTTTTATCAAAATTATACATAAATAATTGTCTGTTAACTGATTTCAATTCACTTATGTATTTATTCAGAAGAATTTCGCACAGTTTGAAGTTTGAACTAGTTGAGTTTGAATAAAGGGACGCAAGTATCGAGACGTTATACTTCTAAATCCATTAATTTTCATCTGAAATTTATAAGTTAAATTTAAAGAAAGAAGGCGATCAATACTAACTTTTAACCAAAAATGGTAACATGGGTCAATTTGTGATCAGCAGGTGAAATCATACACATGATCTGAGGACAATAACAAATTAATGACTCATTGGAAAAGTCAATTCCGAGAATCCTCCAAGGGAAGGGATTTGACTCTTCATAAAACGCGTTGAAAAATATTTGGGATTTATTTGGTGAGATCATTGCCCACAATCTCCGGTTCAGAGGCTTGTAGTGAATAAATTGGGTGTAATATTTGGGTCATCATGATGTGTGTAAGACCAAAAACTGCCAGAGAATTTAACAGTTTCATTAGTGCGCTCAGAGCATTTTTTAAGGTACCGAATGACCCGAAATTTTCGCGGGAGTTTAATTTTGCCGATC